CTCCCTCCCCCTTCTGTCCTCCCTCCTCCTTTCTCTCTCCCTCCCCTCCTCTCAGCCTGCTGGATTTGCACTTGCCAAGATTTTCAATTTCTGGAACATATAACCTGGAAGACATCCTTCCCCAGATTGGCCTCAGCAACATACTCGACCTGGGAGCTGACTTTTCAGGAATTGCTGGGCAGCTCAACAGAACCATCTCCTGGGTAAGGCTGTGGCCTCGAACATGTGGCGAGTGGGTTCTTTCTCCTCTCGCACAAGGTGTGCCTAAAAACAGAAGTCCCCTTTATCTTCCTACACCGACTCCTCATAACCACAGTCTTTGGGGTCCTTTGCTTAGGCAGCGCGCCTTCTCTCTTCCTCATCTAACCCACATGCTTCAGGAAAGGAACACAGGTTCTCAATAAAAGAGCCTCAGGCAGCCATGGGCCAGAATTGTCCCAGGGGTGAGACGGCGCTGCTTTTACTCCTGAGAGGTCGCTCGGGCAGCAGCGAGATCCGTTTACCTTCGCTGTAGCCATGGGTAGGGCACGAGCAGGTATATGGTCAGCCCTACCACCGAGCACCTTGCCATGAGAAAGGCTCATTTCTCCTCCATAGGACACGGCAGAGGCAGTCTCCATCACTGACCACATCTCTGGTTCCTGTGTCTTCCTCCTCCCAGGACACGGAGTAAAGGGGAGTCCCGTGCCTGGGAGATACATTCTCAATTGAGAGGGGACATCAAGAGAAAATGCGCAACGATTCTTAGCAGTTCTCCCACACGTGGCCCACCTCGTGGCAGCTCAAGACAGGAAGGGTCTGTGTCCTCACTGGTGGGAGGTACTGGCAGCCAGACTGAGTGACGGAGGACCCACAGCCCTCCAACAGGAGGCAGGCGTTGACATTTGGGGGCAACAATGCAGAAGGGAAGGCAGCAAAGGCCCTTCCTGAGCCTTCTTTGCCTTTTTGTCTTATGCTAACGTTGTTCCTTAGCATTAGGAACTTCCTAAGAAAAGCATTCTCTCTCCTACTAGGAAAAGACAAGCTGAGGGCTGAGTGTGCCCCAGGCAAAGGGACATGGCTGTGTGCGCGTGCATGTGTGTGAGCAGGTGTGTGTGGTGCGAGGGCAAACAAGAGGAAAGATACTTGCTTTTTTTTCACTTGTGTATTTGGCACAGGGTCTCACTGCATAGCTCAGAGCCTCCTATTTTTCAGCCTCCTCAGCACTGGGGTTACAGGTGTGCGCCACCACACCCATCACCAGCCCAGCGTACCCAGGGGCAGGGCTGGCACAGCATGTGGGACCTGGCTTGGCGCTTGCCAAAGCAGGTGCTTAGTCCGCTGAGCTATCCCACTGGCCCAAGATTTTTGCTTTTGAACTACTGTTTCCCAGTGATCTTAACATTTTTTTTTCCATAGATTTTAGAAATAAAAATGAACTTTAAGGCCAGGGTTTTTCAACTTCTCTTGAAGTCTCAGAATCATTTCCTCTCAGGAGATTGCGTGAAAATGAGGGGGAGAAAGAAGAGGAGGAAGAGGAAGAGGACGAAGAGGAGGAGGAGGAAGAAGAGGAGGAGGAAGAAGAGGAGGAGGAAGAGGAGGAAGAATAGGAGGAGGAGGAAAAAAGAGTGGGCAGGAGTGGGAGAGGGAGAGGGAAAGGGGAGAGCAGGAGAAAGAAGGGGGAGGGGCAGGGGGGCTCTGTTACGCAGAGTACATTTAGAGCACTGTGGATCCAGGCCAAGGAAACCCATTTTAAAGATGAGAAGACTGAGTCTCACAAAGGTCTGGTGTAGCTGGATGAAGGAAAAGGACACTGAGGCTCCAGCCACCCATGCCCAGGTGTGCAGAAGAGGGTCTGCCAGCACCTGGCACACTCAGGCAGCCTCAGCCTGGCTCAGACCCATCTATGTTCCTGCCAAAGGGCAGCTGGCATCGCTAGGAAGAGAAGATAAGGAAGGAGGGGATGAAGGGAAGGCAGGAGCTGCTTTCTAGGCAGTGGTGCGGCCGGGTCAGTCTCCTCAGGGCCTGGAAGGCGACCTCTGCCTGCCCTCACAGCCCCCTGAGCTGTGCTGTGTCGGCCTCTTGTCCTTCTGTAGGTGTCACACAAAGCGGTGGTGGACATGAACGAGAAGGGAACTGAGGTAGGGGCTGCCTCAGGCCTCCTCGCCCAGCCGCCTGCCCTGAACACCACATCCTCGACACCACACGCCCACTTCAACAGGCCTTTCCTGCTGCTGCTGTGGGAGGTGACCACGCAGAGCCTGCTCCTCCTGGGCAAAGTCGTCAACCCAGCGGCAGGGTGACCCTGTGGGAGCTCCAGGTGGCTTCTCTGCCCTGGCCAAACAGGAAGCCCAGCTGCAGCCTGCACTTTGGGATGGCTGTGTGGGCCACTGCACTGGGTCCACAGACGCTAATAAAGTATGGGTTTGTGAACCCTGAGGAACTGAGTCTGCCCCACAGCACCTTCAGGCCATCGCTTCACAGTCATCTCCACCTGGTGTTCCTAGCTATGGTTAGAAAGTTGAGGATGAAAACATCCCCTGTCAATATCTCCTGGGAAATGGCTACCACTGCCACCACCATGATACCCACTGAGTGTCCTTTAGGTAAGGGTCACTATGAAGGGCACAGGGGACATTGGGAGTGTTAAGTCTCTCCTGTCACAGAGGCCCATCTGGGTTGCTAGTCAAGTGAGGTCCTCCTGCAATGTCTGCTCAGAGATCAAGGGCTGGGTCACCTTAGGGGGAGCTGATGCAGTCGGACCTGGACCAGGACCCCCCAGCCATTAGCCATGAAGAGCCAGGTGTGGGTGGGACAGCACAGTCATGGGCCCCCTAGCAAGGGAGGCTACCTGAAGCAGTAAGGACGGAGTGTCAGGGCCAGGGAGCTATCCCAAACTGAAGGAAGGGTGAGGGTCAAGACGGGCACTGGGCAAAACACGGTCGCTGGTGTTTGTTTGGAGGCTGTGGTCAGTGGAGATGGGGAGCTCCAGTCCCTGAGGTGTGCCCACCCAGGAGGCATCCGCCCTGGACAGAGAAGGACGGCACCAGCACTGATCACAGGTATCAGGCTGCTGGGGGCAGTTCTTGGATCATGTGTGCTTGCCGAAAGGCTCCAGTCATGACACAGAAAAGCACTGGGACAGAAAGGCAGAAGTAACTGCAAAACGAAATGGTGCAGACCAAAAGACCCCGGTGGGGGCTGGGGAGATAGCTGGACTGTCTAAGTGCCTGCCTAGCCAGCTCAAAGACCTGGGTTCAATCAACAGTACTGAATACAGTGCCAGAACCCCAGGTGAGCTGAGCTGGCCCCTGTAATCCCAGCACGAGGGTGGCTGAGACAGGAGGATCACTACGAGTCCGAACTGCACAGTGAGACCCTGTATCAAAAGAGAAGACCCTGGTGAGGGAAGGAGTGGGTGGGAGTCACTGTGGCAGTGGCGTGATTTTTGTTAGGATGTTCTGTCTTTTCAGGTCCACCCGTCCTCTTAGAGTTCCTTCAAATGTTGCTAAGACAAGAAATGAGCCCGATGCACAGTGTGTGTGCAAGGTCTGGTGCAGCCTCCCCAGGGTCTGTGTGGTACCAGCGCTCCTCGGTTAGATTCTGTTGAAAGGGCCCCACTGCTGGGAATGTCCCTTCATTAATGGGGTGAATCTTAAAATGTTACTCCTATTTCTTTTTTAAATCAGTGGACCATCGTGGCAGCAACTCGGTGTGCTGGATACCTCCATTTATCTTTCAGAAACAAAGAGCCCTGAAGGCTTGGCTCACCATGCAGAGCAGCTCTGTGTGGTCTGACCTTAAGATTTCATCATACAGGGCTGGATTTGGTCTGAGACCTACTAGAAGATTATAAATACCAAGGCCTTTATTTCTTTGCTTAACTCAAAGTGGCAAAACATGTTTTGATCCCTTTGTCCCTCAGGCCTCGTGTCCTACATATGGCAAAGCCCAGGTGAGGTCTTCTCATGTGAGATGATCCAAGGTA